TCGCCCCAAGTTGGGCGCAACCTTTTTTATAACCTGCGCTGTCTGAAGTCACTGTCCAAAGCTACACGAACAAAATGAACTGGCTGCAGTGTATTCAAAGTGGTCACCGGATCGAGGTCGCACAGTCGACGACTGTCTTGCTCCAAGAAGAATGCTTGTAGCTCTGGCACCTTGCCCGTGATTTCCTTCAGCCGATATGTGAAAATCAGGCGAGCCTGCAGCACAGAGTCACTAGGACAGAGGACAACATGTAATTGTAGATGCTGGGAATTTGTGACCCTGTCCGGGGGTACCATGACAATCATCCGGAAGCACTGTGTCTTTGTAGAATACCATTGGAGCCCAGCTTCTCCAGCTTTTCGTTTGGTCATGGCTATTGAATGGCTGAAATGGCTGCGGATGTGCATAACCAGAGTGTTACTAGACAATGCAATGCGAGTCACATGCTGCAATCAGACTGTTTTGTGACGTGTTGCGGCGAGATGCGAATATTGCGGCCGATAAGATCGGCAAGGCATGCATAGTGAATTGATCTGGCTCACGGAGTGCGAGATCGTTTGCGCTTCGTAGGTGAAGAACTGCCTGCGCTTCCTGTGGGCTGCAGAGTCGTGTTGGATTGTTCCACCGGCTGTGATGTGGTCGTAGTGCTGTCGTTGCAAACTGAATTGAGCCAGGAACGTGTGGCTCTAAACCAAATCCAAGACCATCGGCCTTCCTGGTCGCACGACCAGTGCCAACGCCATTCTGACCCAATGGGGGATCTGGAGCGCGGGGTTCGAGGCATGATGAATGCACAGCGGAGAGAGAATAAAACGGCTGCGATGAATCATTTACAATAAGAAAGAGCTTGCATGATCAACAAGCAGCGGTGCTGTAATTCAATGCATTGTTTTGGGTCTCTGTGGCGCAGGCTTTTAGTGTGAATACTCACTGGCTAATGAGTGCTTCCAAACGGGACACGCGGTCCTTCAAATCGTTGATCTCTCTGTTGGACATCTCTATGAAGTCTGCAAGTCGATCACGGAATTCCGAGTCGGAGAGGCTGCTAACGATACTCTCCGAATCTTCCGCGTGCTCCCTTCCCTCGGTCAATACCTGGAGAAGCGCTTGGCTCAGAGCTGTGCGTCTGGCCTCACTGTCGGTCGGCAGGCTGGTGTCGGAAGCATGTTGAGTTGAGAATCCTTGTACAGAGCGCTGTGAACCTGAAGGAGTCTCCGCCATGATACAATACTAGTTCAACAAACTGCGGTTGCAGAGCCGTAAAAATGCCTGCGCATGAATGACGCATGAAAGTGCATGTGAAAATTAACTGTGTGGAATGTTAGCTGGATCAGAAGAGTCAGTTCACAGCGGGCTTTTATGCTGATGCTGCCAGTGTTGTCAAAACCAGGCAGACCACGATTCAGCTGTACATGCTAAGACCAGTCAATGTCGGAGCGGCCGGCTTGCTCCGTGCGAAGCAAATCAACTATGATGTCGAGCTGTTGTTTACAGCTGGCTAACAGCGCGGCACTAGCTTCGTGTTGGGTAGCCAAAAGCGTGTTCGTTGTGTGCAGTAAAGCCACTGCTTTGGCATTAGAATCGATTAAAGCTTGCTGTAATGCATCAATGCGCTGGAAAAACAAGGTATTGTCGTACGCAGGAGGCTGTGGATGCTCAGGTGGCGTCGTCGGTGGTGGCACTCCCTCTGTACCATCTTCTTGGTGAACATTGCCGTCGTTCTCCACTGGAGGGTCTTGTTCTTGTGCTACTCGAAGAAGTTGATTGCGTAGACCAGACGGCTGAGAAGCCTCAGCCTAATATAGGGTCTGAGGTGGCGAACGAGAACGGTGTCTTTGTTGTCGACGTGGTTTGGGCTCTGATGGTCGCGGCATTAGCTTGTGCAGGGGTTGAAGTCTGCCCCTGCTGTGATGCATGTTACCTTGCTGCTCTAAGAGAAAACGGCTGCGTACCATATCTGTGACAAAAGCATGTGCAGTCAAGATTAGACGCGAGTGAGGTCAGGCCCCAGCAAATGCATGCTGATTCTTTGCGCAGATGCTGAATCCAGCTTTGGTCGTAGCCGGCGGTTTTGTAAACCTCAGAGAGCTGCTCCATGGCGTGAGCAACTGCTTCTCGGGGTGTGGCTAATCGTTGTGCCAAAATGGCGCGAGCTCTGAAGCTGCTGCGTAGCACAATGTCGGGTGATGCTGACTGTGGTGATAGGATGTCGGTGAGGTTGGATGTAGCTTTGTAGTGAATGGTGTGTTGGGAGGGGTCGATGGTAAAGCCGAGGAAATCGAGACCGGGTTCAGTCTCAAGAAAGATGGGAGCGGCGTAGAAGTGGGGTGAAAGGAATTGGGAGAAATGGGGGAGGTTTGTGGCGCAGGTAGGAAGGAGAGTAAGTCTGTTGTCGACGTACCTGGTGGCAAAGAAACCACTGAGCGTAAAATGTTTTGCGTTGCAGTGCTTGACGTTGTAAGTAATGTTGCGGAAGGTGTGAGTCCATGATTGCTCGCCCGCGGCTACCACCATATCGCAAAGTGCTGGGCTCGCTGGGGATCCCATGGGTGCTCCGCGGGTTTGCTGTAACAAGGTGTTGCCCACCATGCAGTAGTTGAGGAGCAAGACCGCTTGGCAAATGTCAGGGAGGTGGCAAAGGTGGATGGTGTGGCGTCGTGGCTTTTGGAAGCGTGAGCGTCCTCGGTGTACCCGCATGGTGGGATCGGGTTCATGATGGGTGCTGGTGAATGTTGTGGCATGCTTGACACTCTTGTTCTTGTACCAGTGAATCATCAGGTGTAAACTGGCCAGAAAGCGGTCTGTGGAAATGCTGGTGAAGAACCCAGAAAGGTCTTGATTGGAAATGTGGAGAGGTAATTGTTCGTCTGAGGGGTTGCTGTGGTGGGCCTGGAATGCTTGTCGAAGGGAGTGTAGTTGCCGTAACGTGTCGCCTCTGTGTCGGGACAGGCTTGTCGGAGCATCAAATAAATCACATCAGCCAAATCGCTTGTGAGTGAGCGAAGCATGGCTCCGACGAACGACACGACGATTGGACGTCCTTTTGTGAAGGACTTTTTCCGCTTTGGCAGAATGTATGCGATTGGGATTTTGCCCCATTGTTGCAGGGCCCACTTGTACTTTGGGAGTAGGTGTTGTATTTGGGTGTAGGTGTTGAAATGGTGGTGTAGTGGAGGTAAATCGATAACGTGGAAGACCTCTTTGTCGAGGAAGGTGTTGGTGATAGCGGTGTGGTAAAGGTGTGGACAGTAAGTACCACATGAGTTTGTTGGGAAGGTGGTCTTCGCTGTGAATGACGCCGTTGGGAAGGCAGCGTCGGGCGTTGCTGACAACCTGGAGGTTGAGTCTGCTGTTGAGGTGGTGATCGTGAAGTTGCATCTGCTGCTCAATGAAGGTGGTGACAGTTGTGTTTTGTTCGGTGGGTATTGGGAGTGGTGTGTTTTGTGCCACCTCTGAATCGCTGCAAAAAGGTCCCGGCGGAGCTGCTTTGTCGGCGGAAAGAAGGTGCTTCTGCCAGAGTACCTGAGAAAGTGGTGTTGTGGGACAAGGGTAAAGAGAGGGATGGCAATGTGGCCATTGTGAAGGTGGGTGGGATGTGCTCGTTGGAGGTGCTGGCAAGTGCATTGGGGCGGTTGATCTGGTTTCCAATGTCGGTGGACCTGTCGCCAGTTGTGAGTGTGATCTTGTACCCGTGGGTGTCGTGCGAAGACGACAGTGATGGTGGGGGGGTGTAAAGGTAGGGTATGCTGGCGGTGTAAGGTGATCTGATGGCGTAAAAATGTTCGGGTTGTGGTGGTTTGCGATGGGTGTGCGAGGTATGGTAAAGTGGCTGGTCTGCGCGCTTTGGGAACAGGTAGTGATCGTTTGCGCATGGCTGTAGCTATAGCTTTTGCAGCAGGTCGCTGATGTGTGGTGGGTAGGTTGCGAGCGATGCGATGATAAGCGTATAGCTGGGCTGACGGAGTTCGTCGCCTCATGAGTTCTTTGGTGGAATCAAAGCGTCTTTTGGTGTTGGATGCTAGATTGCAAATAGTGTGCCAAACTTGGGTTTGGCGTTGAAAGGTCCGGGATCTGTAGAGTGGTCGAAGGGTTGGTGGCAGGTGTCGTCTTCGGAGTTTGGTCCAGATGGACGCAATGCCTGCTCTTTGCTGTATTTTGTGGCGCGCTGGTTGTGTGATGCCCCGGAATGCTCTTTTCATGTACGGGGCAATGTGTGGGTAGTTGAGTTTCGGTTGAAACTGCTGAATAAAGGTTTGTTCCTGGGCTTCCAAGTAATCGTGTGGCACGTTGTACTGTATGACGAGGGGGATGAACTGGTGGTAGTTTTGGTGTTGTCGCCACCATCGCAAGGATAGCTCTGCATCAACGATGGCGTCTTTGGTGAGTTGGCGGAATTTGCGGTTGCGGTTGCTTTCGCGGTTTTGCGTGGTGTTATGTGTGCATCCGATGTAAATGAATCTGTGGTGTCGGCGGGATACGGTGACTCTGGCGTACACTACGCCGGTGGTTTGGAAGTGATGGTAAGTGTAGGTGGAGTAGTGCAGCTGTGTTCGTTGGCATAGACGTCGGATGGTCTGAAAGTGGCCACGCTGCTGAGGTGTGTGGTAGTGAAGAGCGTGGAGCAGGATGCATCTACCTGCTAGCCACAAAGTGATGGCGTGTGCTTTGGTGGAGGAGGATTCGGCTTCGGGGAGAAGATGTGATAGGGTAGAAATGGAATTGGTAAGGTGAGTGGTGTGTTGACAAAACTGCTGTTGTGGATTGTGCTTTGCAGCCTGAGTGATGAGTCACTCAGTAAAATAAGCAATCGCACTGAGGATGCTGATTAAGTGGTTGGCCTGCAACTTGCATTCGTGCCGAGGTACGAGGTACGACCGTGTATGCTAGCGCTATACTTCCTCGGTGAAACATCGAAGGTGCTTCGGCTAGTCAAAACATCGAAGGTTTGCTAGGAAACATCGCAGGTGTTTTCGCTAGTGCTACTAGCTATTGGGGTTCACATGGCCGAAGACGAACATGCTATGTCCGTGGCCATTGTGCTAAAGAGCCCCCGAGTGGGGGGCAAGTTTGAAGTGGGGTAGGAAAGGGAACGGGGCCAATCCGCGCCGCCACGGAGGTGCCGACGGATTGCGAGGGGGAAGACGCTAGCAGGGAGGGGGACTTGGCCGAAGAGCCGACTTTGGTCCCCGAACTCCACGCTACGGTCGCTAGCTAGTGGGGTGGGGAAGGTCTACTCTCACGATATGCTTACGAGCGCTGCCGGTTCCTGGGGGGCTGAGCAGGAGGCACTCGCTAAGAAGCAGCGCCTCTTGCTCGACAAGGCCTACCGCCTCGCAGATCAGGGTTTCGGGCCTCTAGAGCTTGCCTCGCTAGACCTGGACGAGTCTACGGCAATGGCGCACCAGCTGGCTACGGAGCTAAATCTCCCCTTTGGAGACTGGCTAGTGGACGCCCTTTACTGCTGGCTGCAAGAGGCCCGCGAGGAAGCTAAGGTCTACAAACGGGCCCAGGGCTACTACAGCGACGATCTGGCGTGGATGTCGCTAATGCCGCCTATGGAGCTGCCTGATGCTAAGGGCGTGGGCCCGCCGCTACGTGAGCGCAATCGGAAGCTCATCGAGGACGGCTGCAGCGTGCAAGCTAGGGAGGAGCGGCTACTGGACATATGGTGTCGCAAGCTTCGCGACGAGCTCCAGCTAATCAATGCGCCGGTGCTGGTATCGATACAGGGCAGCCTGGATCCGGACCGGGCCGCTCTCTTGCTAACTGGGAGCACCAGAGCCTCTATGCTGAAACGCTATCTGGGCTACTACCGACAGTGGCGACTGTGGCTGGGAGAGGCGAAGCTAAGGCTCCCACCTGGGAGACCCTCCGACTTGGTGGACTACCTGCTAGCCCGCCGTGATGAGCCATGCGGCCGCTGGGTGCCAGAAGCTATTCTGAAAGCTATCGCCTGGGTGGAGAAGGTCGCTGAGTTCGAGGAGATGCTACGTGCCACCCATGGCCGTCTGGCGTGGGCCGCTAAAGACAAGATCACCGAGATCCTGTCTGAGGGAGCGCGTCTCATCAAGAGGGCCCCGCGCCACCCGGTCTTTATGCTGATGCTGCTAGCGGCAGTGGTCATCGACGTGGGGCACGCTATTGGCTGGAAGATTTGGGCCTGGGCCAAGCTGATAAAGGTCTGGGCCTCGCTACGGGTCGGACCTGCAAGCTATCATCCCCGCCGAGCTCTCGCTAGTGGAGGGGAGGCTTTCCACCGTGCTAAGGCGAACCAAGACATCGGGCCCCAGCCGTCGGGTAAAGGAGTTGCCAGTCGCTATCTCTGAGCACGCCTGCTCTCTCAGGAGCAACTGGCTGAAGGTGGGTTTTGACCTCCTGCGAACCCACGCTAACTACAAGCGGGACTACCTCCTCCCGCGGCTAAACCAGGACGGTCTCCTTGAGAAGAAGCCGGCCAGCTATGCGGACGCTATGGTGGCGACGGCGGGACTGTTGGGCATCCTGGGCTACCGCTGGAAGTGCAGGGCTACTGGACCGAGCACAGCGAGAGGTCCGTGCTGCCGACCGGCCTGTCGCGAATGAGGTGCCGCCTCAGGACAAGGACCTGCTAGGTAGGTGGAAGCCTGAAGGCTCCGACACCTACGCTAGAACCTTTCGCAGGGAGGGTCGCCCGACTCCAGGCTCTCTTCGCTAAGGTGGCCAGAGGGGCAAATCGCTACGATCGGCTGGACGAGCGGGAGATTGCGGCAGACCTGGTTCCATGGCTGATGGAACGCGCTAGGTTGTCGAGGGAACAGGCCGAGCTAATTGTTAGCAGCCTGCGCCGCCGCTGGAAGTTTCCGATATCCCCGCAGAGGGACCACCGCTAGACGACCCAGCAGCAGAGGCTGGGGAAGCTGATAGCAGCCAAGCCTCCGCTACGGAACCCGAAGAGCCGGTTTGCAAACAGGTTAAGGTTCTGGACCGCGTGGCTCGCTATGTCATTGTAGAGCTACCGGGTGCGAGATTTAGGCTCCGCAAAGCCGGCGCTAACGGTTGCTGAATGGGCCGAAAAAGGGCCTTCCGCAACAGCCGGGATTACACCGCTAGGCCAAAGGCCCACGAATACACGCATGTGTGTAAGCTATGCTGGCCAGCTAGGGCGGGGAACCCCTCGGATGACGATCCGTCCGAGGGCTCGCTAGCGAATTCGGGCGACGAGTCCGGGGAGCGCAACTCCCCCGCTACGGCCTCGGGCCTTTTGCTAAATGCTGCAGCACAGTTCGGCGTGAGACGTCTGGAGCTAAAAGATTTATGTTTCCCCCCTCCTTTTCCGAGATTTCACCGCTACTTCTCCCGACCGCTCAGGGGGAGGAAGGGAGGAAGGAAGGAGGGGAAGGCTAGAAAGAAGAGAGAGAGAGAGAGAACCACGTTGTTGCTACATGTTTTTGTGCTTGTCATGTCGGCGTGTGCGCTAGGGCACTTGGCTGTGTGTTGCTATGCGTTTTGCGGACATGTCGTTTGCAGTGCTAGGGCGCGCGTGCCAGTCATGTACAACAGGATACAATGGGCCCGGGGATCCCTTCGCATTGGGGGGTCTCTGTGGGGGGGACCACTTGCTATTAAGGACCTGAGGGCCCTTGTCGTTAAGTTTGGGGGTTCCCGACCTCTGCGACCCAGCTAGGGCAGCACCAAGGCTGCGTCATACGGCTCCAGAGGACGACGGGGACGTGTGTAACACACGCCCGTGCTACAGCTGGGCTCCGGCCCCCAGGAGACGACGATCACTATGGAGTGTGTGGAAGACACGCTCAGGACGTATGAAATATACATCGCTAAAGGGTTGCCCGAAGCAACCGGGATGCTAAGTATCCACGTCAGAGGCCTCAGTTTTGTGCTGCTACAGGACCGCTACCTGACCTTAGGACTGACTGCAGTGCTGTCGCTAGGTTGCAGCTGTGTCTCTGCAGCATCTCTGGGCTGCTCCGGTAGCTAAAGGAAAAGGTGAGAAAGATTTTGCCCCTTGGGGGCCGCTATGGCCGATGATGGGCCGCCGGCCTCGGCCACCGCTAAGGCGAACGAGATCTGTTGGCCCGCCTCGACAACGCTAAGGTCGCTATGGTCCACAACCAGGACGCTGCCAAGACCTCCGCTACGGGGCAGAACCCGGCTACTCGACAGTGGCTCGCTAGGGGGGCCAGCCCACAACGCGGGCTAGAGTTCAAGGCGCTACGTGCTAGCAGCTGGCACGACTTCAACCAGGCCGAGATCGACACTATGACCGAGGTCATGAAGTCCGCGCTAACAGAAAAGTTCGCTAGGGTTGCGTGAGGAGGCCGAGAAGAAGGCAGCGGACCTCGCTATAAGAAGAAAAAGGCCGAGTACCAGGCCGCGCTAGCCCAGGAGCGCTTGGAGGAGCTACGCCGGGCCTCCGCTATCAAGCTGGAGGAGGCCCAGCGAGCCATCGCTATGGAGCAAGAGGCGGAGGTCCGCAGCTACGAGGAGGAGATCCAGGCCGCGAAGAGGGCCTCGCTATAGACCGCTGGGGGTCAGGACGCCAGTGATCCAGCCGCTAGGAGCGATGACCCGGCCCCACAGAACGCTACTCGGGCCAATGACCCATGGCCGCAGCTACCCAGACCGGGGCCGCTCAGACGCTGGGGAGCGAGGGCCCAGGCAGCGCTCGAAGAGCGCTAACAAAACAGGGGCTACGACGACATCGCTATAAGTTGGACCGAGCTCTTCAAGGACGCCAACCGCTACATGCGCCCGCTTCGGGGCGCGCTACAGGATGATGGCCGCCAGCTTGCGACCGCTACGGACTGCCGTGGCGCCGAGTGGGCGGTCGAGTTCTTCGGCAGGGCCCGCCCACCGCTACAGGCACGCTGCAATGCCTTTCCCCAAGGCAAAGCTAACTATACAAGCTCGACCTTACCTGGACCGCTATTGACCGCGACCTGTGGCCGCTGGGCTCGTGCTACGAGCCCTGGGCAGGAGGCAACCGAGCGCTAAAGGCCAACCAGATTTGGCTCGCTAGGGAAGTGGAAGAGCTACGGGAGATCACAGAGGAGGATCGGTTACTGGTGTGCCAGCACCCTCCCGCTACCTCCGACCGCGCTAAGAGGCTCGCTACGGAGGTTCTCTCGAGGGGCTAGGTCCAGGACGGCCATAGGCCACTGGGACCCGGAAAACGCTATTTTCGCTATCGCCCATGCAACCGTCGCATGTGGTACAAGCTAGACGATCATGATCACCATCAGTGTGATGGCTGTAAGCCCCCCCCAATAAAGCCGCTAGATCGTAAGCAGCCGCTAAGCACAGAAGCCGGACACCGGCCGCTACAGGCTACAGGCTACTGCAAAAGGGACGGGCCGCTCGGGGAAGCTGGCCGCTACATGTCCACAGTCACCTGCTACATGTCGGCATGCGCGCTAGGCAGTCCTGTTCCAGTTTTCTGCTACATGTCGGCATGTGCGCTAGGCAGTCCTGTCCGGTTGCCAGAAAGAAGGGGAGTGCTAGAATGAGAGTGGGAAGGGGGACGGGGACCAGGAAGCAGGACCGCCCGCTAGCAGGAGATGGGTTGGCACGGGGGCGGGCTGGGTGCTATTCCTTGGCCGACGCCCGACCGCGCCGCTACAGCTCATGCCTGCGCATGTGCTAGCACACTCTCACACGCACCACAGCTAGGCTACAGTCAGAACAGAGATTTTTCCTTGGCTAGATTTTTAAGAACAAGGACGCGCTAGCCAAAAAGCTGGCGCTTGGCGGCTCGGAGCCTCGGTTCCTGCTAGTACACCATAAGGTGTCCGACGAGATCCAGTGTGAGCTATACCAGAACGGTATCGACAGCGTCGCGCTTCCGCTACAGATGAAGCCGACTTGAAGCAGATGCTAAAAGACTCTTTTTCGATAGACCCGTCCGCTTCGCTAAAGCTACGGGCACAGGCTGCCGGCGTCGTGGTGGCCTGGAAGACCGCTACTCTGCGCGTTGAGCGCCAGGCGGAGGCCGAAGCTACGAATGAAGTGCGGGACACGGCTATAAGCCCATCCCGAGCACGGATTACATCGCTGTGAGGCAAGCCTTCGCCGCTAAGTTTGGGGACCTCGAAGACAAGCGCATCCCAGCTAAGGAACTCATTGAAAAGAAGCTAGCGGAGCTCGAGTCCGGAGAATTCCGGGCCGAGCCGCTAACGGAGATCATCAGCCGGGATGAGGTCGACCCAGACACGCTAATGCCCGACTGGGATGCTAAAGGCACTCTTTCAACGTTGAAGAAGGGCGGGTCCAAGACCGCTATGCCCTCGGGGCCCGAGCAGCTACGGCTGCGGCTTACCGTCCTCCAGAACGCGCTAATCATGATCCAGCTAAGGCAATTAGGCCGGGAGGAGCTCAAGGACGTTAACATGGCGCTATTCGAGAAGTACAAGGAGTACCTCCTTGGGGACTACTGCTACGGCCTCCGCTCCAGCGAGGACTCGGGCTCGCTAGTTCCGCCGTGGACTCTGGTGCTCCAATACGAGCACGCTATCCGCAAGCATGCCTATAAGGTCATGGCCACAGCTGGCTATACCTTTGGTGCCGCGCTAACCCACGCCTACAAGGAGCCCTCCGTGAAGGAGCACAACTTCACCACGCCGCTAGCTCTGCACGCTAAGCGGCCCCAGCCCTGGATCGCTACCGCCGATCGCCCGCCCAAGAAGCTAAAGAACGGCAAGGGCAAAGGCAAGGGCAAGGACGGCAAAGGCGCTAAGAAGCTAAAGGAGGGATCCGACCGCACTCCGGAAGGAAACCCTATCTGCTTCCGCTACAACGGCAAGGGTGGCTGCAAGCAAGGCGCTAAGTGCCACTTCGCGCGCTTCTGTATGCTATGCTTTGGGAAGCATCCCGCTACGCACTGCCCCCAGAAAGCGGCACCGGCTAAGGCCGGGCGCGACTTCGCCGCAGCCGCCGCTACATCAAGCTGATCCACCACAATCAGATGCTACTGGCCCTTCGGGGCCCCCGGTGGCGCCTTCTGCCTCTAGCGGGCGCCCGCTAAAGGTGCTCTACCTGTTTTCGGGCGTCGCCCACAAGCTAGACATGGCTACCTGCTTGCAACAACTGGGACGGAGTGCGTCGACGTCAAGCGCAACGCTAAGCAGGACCTCAGCCTACCCAAGGTCCGCAGCAGCTACTTGGACCGCATCCGCGCAAAGGAGTTGACGCCATACTGCTGTCGCCGCGTTGCGCTAGCTTTTCCCGCGCTACCTGGGCCAACTTTCGTGGGCCGCGGCCAGTTCGCAGCTACGAGCTGCCGCGAGGACTGGAGAAGCTAACGCCAGCAGAGCGGGACCGCGCTATCCTGAAGAACATCTTCGCGGACTTCTCCTTTCAGGTCGCTACTCTGGTAGCCGACGGGGCTGCTGGAGCAGCCCGAGGACCTTGGAGCGCTATCCACTGGACCGCACGAGGGGCTCCGGCCCGCCTCTATGTGGCAGTGGCCGCAGCTAGCCGACCTTCTGGAAAAGGGACTAAGGACTGTGGCTTTTCACCAAGCAGCTTCGGGGTGCCCTACGCTAAACCTACACGCTTGCTGCTTCGCGCCTCGCTAGACATGCCCGACTTCGTCTACGAAGGCCTGCCTAGCTACGATGACCAAGGCTACTACAAAGGTCCGCTACCCTCTGCGCAGGGTTTCGGTAAGATGTTCCAACGTCAGGCTAAAGGGGCCTTCAAAACCACTGGTTCTGAACAGTGGCCCGTTGCTATGTGCCAATGGCTTTCCGCTATGCTGCTTTCGTCATGCTTGCTCCCCGCTAAAGACGCCGTTGGAGAGGGGGAGCCCGAGGGCCCCCGCGTGCTAGGCGGTACGGGTCCGCCCCGTTTCTGCCAACAGGTAGGGGGGGGCAAGCCATATCACGATGGAGGTGGGCTATGCTCGCCTGGCAGGTGGCCTCACGCTAGGAGCTATGCCGACGGTTCCTCCTGGGATTGGCTAAGGGATAGGATGCTGAAGCTCATTATCGCTAAGCTGGGGTCCGAGGAGCAGCCAGAGAAGGAAGCCTTCAAGATGGCTGCAGGGGGCGAGCAGGGCTGCTCCCTCGCTAGTGACCCAGAGGCTCAGGCAATTATGGAAAGAATAGCTAGAAGAGGCTCAGGATGTTTCGGAACCCGGACTGCTAGATGTGCCCTCGGGACAGCCGCTATACCTTCGGCTACTTCGTGCTATGCTGGAGGCCCCTGGTGATCCGGACCGGGAGCTCCTCCGACAGGCGGAGGAGGGGCTACCCGTGGGTGTCCTCGATCCGCTACCGAGGACGCCCCGCGTCTTCGAAAAACAGCTAAAGTGGCCGCTGGAGAACGCACCCTGGGAGGCCTCGCTAGCGTGGGTGCCCAACTACAGCTCGGTGGCGGAGTCGCTAAGGCCAAGTTCGAGAGGACATCGGCGAGGGGCTATAATGACCAAGATGTCGCTAAAGGACTTCCTCGACCACTATGGTGTCCACACCGCTATCGCCGCCTTGGCCGTTATTGTCGAGGACGAGGCTAAGGATAAGAAGCGCGTTATCCATGACGCTACGCACGGGGTCCGGGTCAACCACCGGATCAAGTGCCGTAGCTAAGGTCTCCCGGCGCTAGGGAGAAGAAACACCTGCTACGCGAACACGAGGAGGCCGGGGAGGTGGCCTTCTCGGTAGTGGGGGACATCGCTAAGGCCCATCGCCGCTTCAAGCACGCCGCTAAGGAACACGGCTACCTGGCCTGCCAAGTGGACGCTGAAGAGGAGGTCCCGGGATCCTGCTAGCCAGACTGTCTACGTTAACTTCGTGGGTACCTTCGGGCTCTCCTGCGCTAGCTACTGGTGGACACGCATCGCTGCCTGTGGCCTCAGGCTAACCTACCATTTGCTGGGGCCGGGTTTTCCGCTAGACATGTTGCTCTACGCCGACGACCTGGAGTCGATGGGTCGTGGCGCTAAGGGAAGGAGAGGCATCCCGCTCAGCTACCTCTACCTGGCGGCGCTTGGCTACCCTTTCAAGTGGGCTAAGACCCGAGGGGGGTTTAGAGTGGAAAACGGAGTATCCCTAGAAGCTAGGCCTCTCGCTGAAGCGAGCTACTTGGTTGGTCGAGTGGCTCGGTGGGCTAGCCGAGTCTGGGAAGGCCCAAGCTAAGTCCTTCGTCCAGGGGCTAGGGCAGATTCGCCTCCATTGCGCTAGACTGGGAGAGGCCCTTCTTGGGTCCGCTGGTCCTCTGCGCTACAGGGGAAGTCGGGCCCTCTCACGCTACCGACCATGGTCCGGGTCCTCTGCGGCGCTAGCGGAGCGACTAGAGAGTGGGGGGCGACTACAGAAGCCCGAGCCGCTACTGGAAGGCGCTGCACCGCTGAGCTTTTTCACTGACGCTAAGGGCGAGGAGGGTCGGGTCTGGGTCGGTGGCTTTCTCGGGCTGGTGGACGGTGGCCAGGGCCCTTGGTTCTCGCTAGAGGTCACTCCGGAGTGGGCCCCCTGGGCTTTCGCTAAGGGCGACCCGGGTAAGGTCATTGCCGCGCTAGACCATGCGACCAGCTACTTTGAAGAGTTGGGCATGGCTAAGAGGACCAAGAAGGCCCCGGTTCGCAAAGCGACCACGTAAGCTAGGTCCCTGGTGACCCTACGGCTTCGCTTGGAGATTGGCTAGCCTGGACGGAGTTCCGGCTAGAGACTTTCTTCGGGGCAACAGGGACCTGTGCCACACCGCTAAAAAGAGTGAGGGTCTGCGTCAGCTGTTGTGTCCGTGCGCTAAAGCCTAGAGCTTTAAAGCTACGAACCCTAGGCGGGGTCCTGGGGAGGTGGCGGGTAGGAAGTGCTAGCTAGTGTACGCGAATATGCTGCTGCGGTAAACCCCAGGCTTCAGCGTTTTTCTGCAGTTGTTCTGTTTGCTGTTCAGTCAGGCTGGGGTATTGCTTGAGCAGCTCCTGGATGTTCGTTCGGACCTCTTGCTTTTTAGGGTCCGAGATGCGGAGCGAACCGATCCACCGTTGGATGCCAGCATCGGAATGGGCACCGGTGTAGTTCTGCGAGAACCATTGTGATGTGCCCGAAGGCTCTGCAAAAATGTCAGGCTTCGCCGGCTTGGCGGGTGCCCCTGGTAAGGTTGTTTGTACCTTTCTGCGCTTAATCGCCGAGAGGGGGCTGTCTTCGACTGCGATGGGTTTCGCAGGTTTGGGGCTGGGTGTGGTGAGTGTTGTAGGAATGGGGTTGGGTGTGTTGAATGTGTCTGGATTGGGGATGGGGCTGTCGGGAGAAGTGGCTTGAGAGGGGGCGACGGGAAGAGCTGCGGTCGTAGTGCTATGGTTTGGTGGTGGGGTGCTGCTGATTGTGGGCGCCGGGGATGGGGGTGGGCGCTTTTTGGTTGGCGTGGCAGGCGCGTCTTGGTTGCCACTTGATGCGGCTAGCTGCGCATGAGCAGTGGCAAGTTGTTGTTCGAGCTGTAAAATTCTCTGGTTGGATTGCGCGTCTGTGGAAGCTGTGTTCTGAGAAGGTGTCTCATGGATGAGTCCGCTCATGTACTCATAGAATTCGTCAGCAAGGGCTGCCAATGCTTGCTTCTTGCCGGGGTTAGAGATGGGTGGAATGGCTCCTTGGCAGTGCGCCAAAGCTACGGTGTCGAGGTCGATCTTGTTGTGCTTGAGTCTGCAAAAGAGCTCCGTAGCCAACATGGCGTGCGAAATGTGTTTGGTGAACACTGAACACTGGATATACTTCGTGTCCATGACACAGGTATCGGAGCCAGTGCGAGGACCAGGAATGACGAATCACGGCCAAGAGAGCCGTCTCGATTGGGCATCCTGCTATGCCCAGTTTTTGAGTGTATGTGGTTGCTTTGACTGGTTTGGGTAAGTCGTACCCGTATATGACCCTGCAATCATGGTAATGCTCGGAAGACACAAAGTCGCTCGGGAGGGATGGAGTGGCGAAGGGATGTGGAGTGAAATGGCGAGATGGGGGAGCAGGGCTGCATGGTGAGGTGGTGTGGAGTGGGGTTGCACAATGGTGGTTGAGGGGGGAAGCATGGTTGTGGGGTCAACTGTGCTGTCGGCTGGGTATGATGGGGTGCCCCTCGCTGGGGTAGTGGTGCTGCAGCGGATGGCGGCGCTTGATGGGGATGTGCTGCTCTTGTCAAAATGCCAGTGGGCACTCTGTATGTGCCGCGGTGTCCCGGTGGCGGTGGGGGTGGTGTTCGCTGCATCTTCTGTAAAATCGGGCTACCTGGGTTCCTGAAGCCGGCAAGACTGACGTAGGCAAACATGTAAAGAGTCGGACCAGCAAAATTCGGCAGCCTCAAGTTGTGCAACTGCGCCTCAGGAGCTGTTTTGCATGTGCGTAGGTTCACTGCATTGGTCTCAGTTAGTTGCAGGGTGAAACACGAAAGTAACAGGTTGTTGAAAAATAACAGAAGGGCACTCTCATAGGAAATGGCAGGGCAACGGTATCCGGCTCTAACCAACATCTTAGCGCAAGCTCTGGATCTGGGTGCCACGCCTGTTTGCGCCGAAATAATAGAGAGGTCGATGTTGCGTGATATAACTGTAGAGTGTTTGGGCAACGAGGCAAGCCCACCTCCAATCCGGTCTTTCATCCTAAAGGTCCACCGCCTCCGCCTGGCGTTGAAATCAACCTGGACCCAGGTGGCTCTAGCGATGCGCCGACTGAGACAGCATCTCCAGCAGGTAGTATGGATGAGGAGCCGGGCGACTCGAACCCTACACCCGCAGCGGTGTCTACGGTTCCGCGGAAGTTCCTGCAGCAGTCTGTGACATACCGGAGCAGGATGACTCAAACCCTATGCCCGGAGCGGTGCCTACAGCTCCTACGGAAGTTCCTGCGGCAGCCTGTGACGTACCGGCCCACCTCTACATTTCTCCTCCACCGTGGGCAGTTGAGGAGGCAGAGGAATCCGAACGTGGTTTTGAAGACGACCCGCCTATGGAGACGAACTCTGCGGCTGCAGCCGACACAGGCGAGGACCACGGTATGGTGGAAGGAGCAGCCGGCGCTGCTGATGATAGGCGCCTCGATCTCGAGCTGGACGACCCGGACTCACGGCCGGAGCTTACTTCAGGTTCAGCAGCAGAGGAAAGCTCGGAGGACAGCTTCCTCGACACCCTTGACTTCGGCTACACCAAAGGCACCAAAGACTAAGCATCATTGGCTCACAAGCTCGGCTGCAGCAAAATCCGCGAGCGCCTTCCTGGGGATATTGTGCAGCCTTGCACTCTGGCACAACTGGCTGTTTGGTTCCCTTTGCCAGGTGGGCCAAGTCTCGACGGCCTGCTGTTTCCTAGGCGGCGTGCTCAGCTTGTGGTTTGGCTGCAGTCTACATGCTGGCTACAATGAAATAAAGCCATGGATTGGCTGGTATCACACTGCAGCAGAGCCTACCCCCTCTACATGGTTCTGGCAACACAGAATGGTACGACCTTTGATCTTGGATTGGCGTAAACTGTGCCCCAGGTTGCCATCCACCACACTCTCGAACAGGAGCCGCCTGGGTCCCAAATCCCAGGGTGTCGGACGTATGCGAACCAGCATGAATTTCCTATGCTTTTTCTTGTTATTTTCTCTTATGTTAACAACAGTTTCCGGCACAGATGCGAGGGTTGAGGCTGATTCCCACCCAGTCTCTGAAGTCCTTAGTGGCGAACATTTAGGCGGGAACACCGCAACACAATTTTCTCCGATCATTACCACTACGACTACAGGCAGGCAGAGAGTTCGCAAGCGAGCATATGCTAGGCATTGCGTAGAGCTCAGCGAGCACCAGACGGCACCACCATGTACAGGGGCCGCGTTCTGCATTCACAGGCTTCAGCGGCCACTCACGCTCCTAACAGGAGATCGGCTCCTTCGGCTCCTGCAGCAGTGCGACCTCGGCCGGCTTGTCGGTCACGCCCCAGGCTTCGTGTGCTCAGCTTGAATGTCGGTGGCATGGATGCAGTGACTTTTGATTGCTTTATGCAATGGCTGCCTGAAGCGCCGTACGATGTTATAGCGCTGCAGGAAATACACCACGGATTGGGAAAGCAATCTTCGCAATGGCATTCAGCAGGCTGGCACTTCGTTACCAGCATAGACGGCCATACGCGATTTCAGGGGCTGGCAACCCTAGTGCGCCAGGACCTCGTGCGGGGGGCGGAGCTCCATCAACAGGAGCTGGCTGTGGCTCGGTTGCTACATGTACGGATCTCTCGAGACGAATACAACATAGATGTCCTCAACATTTACCAGCATGCCTATCAGCAGGATTCCTCCGGGAACAACCTCTCCAAACGACATCAGCTGTGGGATAAATTCAACACGACCGTGCAGGGCTTGGCCAGACGTAACATGCTTGTGCTGCTTGGTGATTTCAATTGTACGCCGAAACATGTGCAAGGTTATACCGGCTACGAGCTGTCGCGAGCTGAGTTGTATGCTGATGCAGCTGAATTCTCCACGGTCTTGGAAGCCAACCAGCTGGTAGTACTCAATACCTGGTCTAGACGACGATCACTGGATACTTTTGCTGGCGCCAAGCACAAATCTATCATTGACTTTGTCATTACCAGGCGTGGACATGCAGACCTACCTGCCCGCAGGTCACTGCCTATGCCGGGACTTACTTTTAGCCCGTGGAGAATGGGAGGAAAGCATTTCCCTGTGCAGGCCACCTTGCCCTTGCACCCTGGCTGGCATCGAGCTTCGAGCAGGGCCCCCGCTACAACCAGGCCCTCCTATGACTCTCTGGCACTCACTGAGGCTGTCCGTGGTAAGACCCCCCTATATCAGGCTCTTCGGGTTGACTTCGAGCAGCGACTCCAGCAACTTCAGGCTCCCACGCTGCAACAGGTCAATGATTTGCTGCTTTTAGCCGTGTGCAAGGTTTTCCCTAAGAAAGCGGACAGACCCTTGCCGCGTGCCTGGCAGACGGAGGAGGTTCGACTCTCAGTGGCGGATATGTGGAGAGCCCACAAACGTATGCGGAGCAGGTCCTCCCTCCAAGGCTTTCGGGCTTGTTTTCAGGCCTGGCTTCGGCGCCGCGATTTTCAGAAAGCGTACAAGGAGCTGAAGCGACGCGGCAGGCTGGCACGCAAAGCTATCCTGGAACAACACTTGGCGCAGGCGCAAGAAGCAGTTTCTCGTGGAGATCATGGCATGTTGCACAGGACAATCCGTGCCCTTGCTCCTAAGACTCAACGATCACAGGTCCGCATACATGGCAAGAACGGGGAGATGCTCACCTATCAGCAGGAGCACCAGGCAATGATTGACTACTTCCAAGACCTGTTCCAGTCTCAGTCTGATGCCTTGCGTTCCCCAGCCAACAACAGTGCTTCCAACTACCAGGTTACGGCTGCAGACTTTGAGAAGGCGATCTGCTCGTTGAAGATGGGCAAGGCTGTGCCCCCCGGCAGTGCTCCCACCAGTGCAGTTCGTGCTTGCTCGGACATTGTTTCCAGGCTGGCTGCTGATCGGGCCACAGCCTGTCTGAGTGGCTCTTGCACTCCCACTCTCTGGGCAGACTGCACATTAGCCCTCATTCCTAAGCCACATAAGACGGCCAAACGGCCTGAAAACCTAAGGCCCCTTGGACTTCAGGACTGTGGGGCTAAGGCTTACGCCAAGATTCTGAAGGGCATTTTGCTACAGGAGGTAGGTGACGCTCTCAAAGCTTACCCTCTTCATGCCTACCTGCCCGGCCGTAGCACAGAAACGGCAATTGCCAGAGTCATAGATCACTGTCGGCAAGTCCGTACCCTTCATCGAGGACAAACGGCTAATGTGCACACCCGCCGTGCCCAAATTAAGCAGAAGCAAGCAGTTGGCGGGATACAACTGGCCATCGATCTTTCTACAGCCTTTGACATGGTACCCAGAGACCAGCTGTGTTGTGCACTACAGTGGGCAGGTGCAAGCGAGGCTCTGACAAATGCCATACTGGATCTACACCAGGTATGCAGGTGTAGCATCCGGCACAGAGGCAGGGTTCAGCATATCTGTATGCGGCGTGGAGTTCGTCAAGGTTGTACCCTGGCTCCACTTCTGTGGGTCGTTTATTCTGCATATATAACACATCACATTGGCAAAGAGCTTACCTTGCCTTGGGTTCAGAACCATCTCACCCTTTATGCAGACGACACACATGCCAGCTGGATTGTTGACACTGTTGATTCTTTACAACAGGCCCTGCGTGCCATACCGGTAATATTCCGTGTTTACCAAGCCTTTGGCATGCTTGTCAATCCCCAGAAATCAGGAGTGGTGCTTGGCATTCGGGGTGCTTTTGGGATAGGACTTCTGGCACCGCACATACATGGCACGGCCAGCAGTAGACGATTAGTCCTGGGCCCTCCCCATCAGCAGTTAGTCATCCCCATCAAGGATAGCATGACTTATCTGGGAGTGCAGATCTCTTATGGCAATTTCGAGGATGCCACCGTGAATGCCAGACTGGCTGTTGCTCAGAGCACCCGGGGGCGACTGATCAGGGTGCTGCATGCCCGCAGGTACCTTACACTACGCAAGCGCGTACAACTATATGTGCTGTGTGTGCGTACAGCTGCCCTGTATGGTCTTTTACCTGTTGGAGTCACGGCGGGCTGGGCTTCGTAAATTACATGCTTTCGAAGTCAAACATGTGCGAGCGATTGCACGCAGCCCTGTGCATCTTACGCGGGAAACCACTGTACAACTATATCATCGACTCAAGTTGCAACAGCCGGGCGACTACCTGGCTAAGCTCATGGCTGGGAGAATACGTGCTCTTGCTAAACGAGCTGATTCCGTAACAGAGTCGTTTCGGGTTAGATCCGAGGAGCTGCGGTTGAGCCAATTAGCAATGAAACATGGTCTCCAGGAAGCCACCAGCTTGCGTGAGGTTGCCTGCCCTACGTGTGGACAGTACTTCGCGACCCTGGCAGGGATGCGTACACATCACACCCGAATGCACCTGCAGGCCAACACAAAGGGTTCTGCTAGTAGGCTGCGTGGACTACGCGTTCAGGACCACTGTGTCAATCAAATGCCCATCTGTAAACACTGTGGTTGTACTCTCACAACGTGGCACCAGTTTCGCATTCATATAGTTTCTAGCTGTGTTGTATTACACTCTGCCAGTCAGACGGAGAAGCCTGCTTTGCAGTCCGCTGCGGGGCTTCAGTCTACGGAGCTTGCTTTGCAGTCCGCTGCGGAGCTCCGAAAAGAGACTAAGGATGATTCGGAATGTGCCCCGTTCGAGCAAAGCTCAGTGCAGCGGCTGCTTGCCACGGCCGAGTGGAAAAACATTTTGCAGCTGCCTAACATGAGCACCATTTTGCAGCATCATTGTGTTCTATGCAATCAGTGGGTCGCCAAAGCTCCCAGCTCCATGGTTCTACATGTCAAAGCTGTGCATCCGGATCTCATGTTACATTGGGACAATGCTATGGCTCACAGTTTGACTTTACGAGAGGGGCACGCCAGGCCCTGTAAAGCTTGTGGAGCCGCACCGCGTGGGCGACACAGATGTCGTGTGCTGCATCAGCTTTGTCTCATGCTGCATTACTGGCGTGCACTGACTCGCGACCCCCGCTGAAACACAGCATGGCGAACCTGGCGCTGGCGGAGGCCCCTTCCACGCAGGTGGATCAGGAGGTGGGCGACATCCTGGGAGCTGCAGTGGATACTCTTTTCCCAGGGACGCGGGATGCGGAGATGCCACAGGCCTCGCACTGGGCAAGCGGAAAGACCCGGGCATGGCTGCGGGCCCTCTCAAGTTTCCCAAGCCGGCGGGCAAGGGACAAGGGCAAGGCCAACGCAACCCCACGGGGAGCCAGGAGGCTGGCCAAGATCCGGGGCAGAGCTCGGAGCAGGGCTCGGATCCACGGCAGTGGACCCGGGAGAGGACTCGTCAACGGCAGGACGAGATGTGGCGACAGTGGGAGTCGGGTACGGCATGGTATCAGAACGAGGAGATAAAGAAACTCCGAAAAGAGATGGGATATCTCCAGGAGCAGATGAGGCTCCTTGCCCGAATGTCTTTGAGGCAAGAAGACGAGCTCTCGCAAATGCGAACCGAGAGAGACTTCGTGCTCACTTTCGAGCCGCCGACCCAGGCAGCAGAGGGCAACGAGGCGAACATGCTGGGACTCCTCTTCCGGGCCAGGTGGACAGCAGCCTACGTATGGTCTTGTTTTTGGGCCTGATCAAACAGTACGTCCGGAGGATCACCACAAGCCTGGAACAGCCCGAGGACCGGGAGCAGCTGGCCATGCTCAAGCTTCTCCGACAGACGGAGGGCGGGGGCATGGAGTGGCCGTATCTACGATGGAGTCAGGAGCAGCTCCTGGAGGAGGCCCCGGTTGCAGCACTGCCCCACACCGACCTCATGACGGCCCTGGCAACTTTGGAGGCCTCGATCACGGCACCGGGGGCCCTGCTACGCTTCCATTCAACAAGGAAGCTGGTGGAGAACCATCAGTCCCCGGTTACTTTCCTGGTATCCATCGGAATGCGGGCAAAAGCCTCCTCTGCTACCGCGCACTGTGCTCGCTATGCTTCAACGCCAGCTCCCAGCTGCTGAAGCTCCGCATCCGCCCAGCCAAGATGGAGAGACAGCCTTTGGCCAAGGTCTTGGCGGAGCACTTCCCACCACCGGAAATGGCTATGGGCAGGGGGAAGCAAGGCGAAGGGCAGGGCAAGCAGAGGACAAGCCCGCCTCGAACGAGCCCCTCCCGACAGGCTGCACCCAAGTCACCACCGAAGGCCACGGCAACGGAGGGAGCAGCAGAGGAGCGGAAGGAGGCAACGGAGCAGGCAGCCAGCTGATGGATGGTTGCACAAGGCCGTTTCTTCGCTTATGTTTGCGCAGCCCTCATAACTTATGTTATGTGCATGCCACTTTGCAAATGTTCCTGTGGATTGGTATGATACATGAAACACATATGGATCAGGCCTCTCTTTTGGGACAGCTGCTTGGGCCCTGTGGCCACCTGCGTCAGGTGGGCAAAACCTGTTTGCTCAATAGCCAGTTCTGGTTGCATTTTCTTCGACAATGGCGATCGGACTTGACCCGGCAACAGGATGCAGCTGAATTTTGGGCTTACATGCTTGAGTATGCGAAGCCGGTGGCTTACGATGGATTATGGCAATCACGCTCGAGCCTTGGTTCAATTACCTTTGTTCATGACTCAGGCCAAACTCGTGAGCCCATCCTTTTGGAAATTCATCAGCATGGTTTGCAGGCCAGCATACAACAATGGCATATGCAGCATTACCCCTATGCATTACGTGAGGCACCAATGGTGCTCTTCTTTCAACTTAAGCGATGGTCTCAGAAGGACAGTCGGCGACCGGTTCACAAGGACTTGGCAATATTTCCTTTTGAGGTTGGAGCTACCCCTGACCTGCCCTTCTTTGAGAGTGCCCAAGGACTGCACCTTACTTGGCTGAAATATCGGCTGATTACGGTTCTTATACATACTGGGCCGCATCCTTGGTCAGGTCACTACCGTTCCATTCTGAGTGGCCGTCGGCAGCTTCCGGATGGCAGTGATAAGTGGACTGCAATGCTTACAGATGATGATAGATCGATACATCCCTGCAGTGATGCAGACATGCAGCATTCTTTTTTCAACTGCTACTTGTTCGGTGTCTGCAGGGACCTTTGAGGGTCTGCTTTGGCTGCCAATCCCGGAAGCGGATCATCGCTTCAGTGCTCAACATTGACAGCTGATTTCATCCTGCCTATGCAATATTCTTCTGAATGCCTGTAGAGTAGTTTCTTCTTTCAAGTTAATGAACACTGACAATCTGCCTTGCTAGGTCATTCGTGACGAAGGCACAAATTGTTTGCTTATCTGTACCTGCTTTGCCGTGCGCGGCGGGGTACTTTCCGTATGGGAGAATGTACCTAGTACAGCTTCACGCCGGACAATAGGTCTGTTCTCGAGATGCGGTCGCAAAGCGTCCCTGCAAGACCGGATGCTGCGTCGTGAATGAAAAAAGCGACAATGAGGGTCCCGCCAGCTGCC